AACACTCTAGTAGCAGGCACAAGGCCCTGGCAGGAGCTGGGAAGGCTACGTTGGGAGTTACTATTTAATGGGGAAACAGTTCCCCTTGCAAATGATGAAAAAGTTCTGAGGATAGCCTACGACCTTGTGAAGGGCCTTTTGGTTTAGGGGATTTTTTTTTTTTTTTTTGGCAACACTGGGGTTCACACTCAGGGCCTCACACTTGCTAGCCAGGCACTCTAGCACTTCAGCCTCTCCACCAGCCCTTTTTTGTGATGGGTTTTTTTCACCCTAGGGTCTCACAAACTATTTGTCCCACTGGCTTCAAACCGCAATCCTGATCTCTGCCTCCTGAGTAGCTAGGATTCTAGGCATGAGCCACCATCGCCCAGCACCACTGACATTTTGAACCAAAGATCTCCATTCTACCATTGCCCTATGCACTGGTCAGACTTCAGTCATGGCCCTGGCTTCTCCCCAGGAAGCAGTAGCCTCTACCACCAAGATGTGACAAGCTAAAATGTCTCCACTCACACCTTACCAAATACCCCACTGGGGAAACAGCCCCTGGAGGAGCACTACCACCCTGCAGGAAGGCTCTCCTGGCCAGCTGACCTGCCTATCCTCCTGTCTGTTGTGACCAAGCCAAGGCTGTCTTTGGGCCCCTCCAGACCTTCCCAAATCATGCCATCCTAACCAGTGACCCCCTCCAGACTCCAAGCCCCAGGTGCAAGTTCTGCCAGGGGAAGGATTCCACTTGGGCAGGAACTCAGACCACCAAGCAGGAGAATCACTAGAATGGAGACCTCGTGGCCAGGTTGAACCAGGGCAGGGCTGGGGAGACCACCAAGCATTTGTGTTCCATCTCTGTGTCACAGCAGCAGGTTGGTCCCCGCAATCACAGCAGCCCTGGTAACTGGGTGGCTGACCTCCACCCAAGGACCCCCATTTTCGGTAATGATCCCCCTGACACAGCACTGCACATTCTACTTTGTGCCAAGTTGAGATGTAAACTGTTGGGACCAAATGGAGAGTGAATGAATTCCTGTCTCCCTAACAGGTGGAGGGACAGTCCCTGCCTCCAGGACTCAAGCGGGTGCACAGAGGCCCTGGCCCATCCCTGGGCTTGGGTGGGGCCCAGCCAGGGCTTCCCACCTCAGCCCTGAGTCATTGAGTGACACTAGTCCTGTCTACTGTGCTGAGGGGCAAAGTCCAGAAGTGCCCAGGTGTCTCTACCCCGTTCTTTCTTTTCCTTGAGCATAAAGGACGAGCTCAGGGAAAAGCTTTGGGAAACACACCAACACCTTGTCACTAGCATGGAACAGGCCCCCAGCAATCTGGGCTTCCTGAGCTCCAGGCAGGACAGACAAGGGTGGTCAGCCCAGGCCAGGCTATAGAAGGCTTCCTGGAGGAGGAAAAGCCCAGGTGAGAAAGGTTTCATACCCTAAGGCTGCCAAATTTAAAAAGCAGGACACGACTAACTCGAATTTCAGACAAATCACAAATAATTGGAAGTATACTCCAAATATTGGGTGGGAGGTGGTTATGAGGCAGGACAGATGGGGGAAAATGAGACATGGGAACAGTGGCCAGGAATTCAGAGACAAACACTACATGAGTGCACGATACTCCTGAGTGGCTGCCTGCCATGATCTCTTATTTTAATGGAGTCCTAATAAATATTTGCTTTTTCCTACAAACAAAAACCACCACATTGCTGGACACTGGTGGCTCATACCTATAATCCCAGCTATTCAGGAGGCAGAGATCAGGAGGATCAAGCCAACCTGGGCAAATAGTTCATGAGAGCCTATCTCAAAAAATACCCTTTGCAAAAAAGGGGCTGACGGTGAGGCTCAAGTAGCAGAAAGCCTGCCTAGCAAGTGTGAGGCCCTGAGTTCAAACCCCAGTACTGAAGAAAAAAAAAAAACCAAAACACTGTATGAATGAAAGACTTGATTAAAAGCACACAGGCACTGTTTTCTTTGCTTTAAGCCTTATGCCTCAATAAGCTGCAATATTTAGTAAAAACAAAGGAAAAAGGGCAGCTCTCTCCCTCAACCTTGTCCAGATGCCCAAATAATTAGTTTACCCTGGAAACTGAGCAAGGATATCTTAAAAAGAAAGACACTTGTCTTTGGGGAAAAAACTCTTGAGAAAATGACTCCTCTGGGCACAAAAAGTGCTTGTTTGCAAGAGGACAATACTTACCCAAAGGATAGACACCTGCTTTGAAGGGAGCTTTGGACAGGCCTCATCTTTTGTTTAAAGGATTCTCAAACATCAATGTCATAATGGCTCCAATTTAACGAACTGGTCCACCTTGGTGTCTTTGGGCCCAATTGACAAAATGGTGTAACAAGAGTGATTAAATGTGCTAGGTGTTCAGACCAAAGGGAAGCAGCAAATTTGAGCCAGCCTCCTTTTCACCATAAATACCAGATGTCAGAGCACTCATTGCACCTGTTACCAGATGTGCCCTAGCCCATGTTTGGGTTGTGTACTGCTTCTATCTTTGCTTTGTTTTACTAAATAAACTTTCTTAGTCTCTACATCAATGTGTCCTAAAATGTTTTTTTGTTTTGTTTTGCTTTTTTTGAGACACCATGAACTTGGTACCCAAGGGCCAGGCAGAGGCCTTCTTCCTTTTGGAGACCTCCTCTCTGTAGCACCACTGGCTCTGTTAATGGTTATGTGATAAAATTCCTGTTTATCTGGAATTTGAATCTTGTTGCCCATACTTCCCCTAGCTGTCTTGGGAAGTGACAGGGCAGCCCCATAACAAGTCTTCCAGCTTCCTCTCCAGACTGGAGTTGGGGACTGGAGGTGTGGCTCAAGTGGTAGAGCACCTGCTTTGCAAGCTAAAAGCCCTGAGTTCAAACCCCAGTCCCACCACAAAAAAAAAAAAAAAAAGACTGGAGTTGGTCAACAGAGGACCCCACCCCCACCCCCACCAATCTTAGCTGACTGGTGGTATGAGGTAGACAATTAATCCAAGTCTCAGTTGGCCAACCTGTGAAATGGATGGGTGTTCTGTACATACAACTGAGGTCTGGGGACCAGCAGGATAGCCTCACCTGGCAGGGAGGTTGTAAGAAATGCAGACTCCCAAGTCCTGCCTGCAGAACAAGCCCCTGTTGTTTTACTTTGCAGTGCTGGGGATTGAACCCAGGGCCTCGCACAAGCTAGGTGGGCACTCTACCACTGAGCTGCATTCCTGGCCCCAACACCTATGTTTTATGAAGCTCTCTGTGATTCAGGGAGTGTGAGCATGGAGGCTCACTCAGGAGTGGTACTCATGGGTGTCAGCACAGAGACTCACACACATTCCACATAAGCCCTGAGAGGAGCCCTCCGAGGGCACTTTACCCCGACATACAGGGACACCTGAAGGCAGACAAGAAAGATAAAGTTCTGGGTTGGAGATGTAGCTCAGTGGTACAGCACTTATGCAGCATGCACAAGGACCTGGGTTCAATCCCCAGCACTGCAAGAATATAAAAAGAAATAAGGAGAAAGACAGAGAAATAAGCAAAGTGCATAGAATAATGTGTATGTGTAAGAGACAAGGGCAAAGTGTAGAATATTGTGCTGGGTAGCTCACTCTCATAACCTCTTCTTCCCCTACCCTTGTGTTAAAGATGGCTGTTGTCAAAGTACCCTATTCATAGGTATGAAAATGCTATAGTGAAATCCATTATTTTGTACAATTAATATGCACTAATAAAAACTTGGCTATATTCGCAAAGCAGCTTGCAGCCCTTCTGCCAGGTGGGCATCTGATGTTGACTACTGCTCTGGTAAAATCAGGTGACATGTGGCCAAGGTGCCTCCTGGCTCCTGGGGAGGACAACCCTGAGGCCCAAGGTCTCTCTATGGGATCCCCAGATGCTGAATCATTAATCCTTGGCAGATGGGAGCAGAGAAGTGGCTGGCATGGAGCACAACAAAACCTTCCATACTGCAGGTTCAGAGGTTGCACACACCCTGTCCTCCTCAGCTCCACACTGCCTTCTTCTCTGATCAGGGTTCTCTCCCTTCAAAACCCTGTCCCTTTTCCTGTCCTTTCAGTTTTTTGTTGTTTTGGTGGTTCTGGGTCTTGAACTTAGCACCTACACCTTGAGCCCCTCCACCGGCCTGCCTTTATGTGTGTGTGAGTGATAGGCTTTCTCAAGATAGGGTCTTGTGAACTATCTGCCCAGGTTGGCTTTAAACCATGATCCTCCTGATCTGTCTCCTCCTTCTACACCACCCCGTGGCTGTGTCCTTTGGTGTGTGGGATGTGCTCTGGTAGCCAGGCTTCCTCTTAGACTCAGTGTCTGAGTAAAGCTGTGCCTTTAGCGTGACACAAGCATGTCCAAGCTCAGGCAAGGCCTGCACAGGAGGGTCACAAATGAGTCACCCAAGGCCAGGAAGTGCTGGGCCACATGGGCCAGGAAGGGGAGAGGGTATGGGGCATGCTGGAGGCCTGAGGCTTTGCACAGCAGATCAGGTGGGGGATGCCTGCCATCCGGGGGGATAGTAGGAAAGCAGTAGCATCCTCACCCCAGGGCGGACCAGTTTCACCCACACCTGAGCCTGAACAAACCAGCCAAATCAAACCCAAGGAAGGGCAGGGCCTTCAGTACTCACAGGGGACAGAGCACAGATGGACCCAAGCACTCACATCAGCACTGCCCCAACAGCACCAACTATTCCACTTCAAGGGTGGGCAGGCTGGCCAACTAGCCCTACACTGTTGGACATCCAGACCCTAAGCCCTACCCAGCCCCATGTGTTGCTACCTCTTGATCCCCAGGTGGCTTCTAAGCTTCAGCAGCTCCATCCAGAGCACAAGAACAGCCTCCCCAAAGGCTGCTATAGGCTGCAAGCAACGTAGGCAAACCACAAAGAGCTGCCCCATATTTGCTTACCTCATCCCCCAAGGTGGAATCTCAATGGGGGAACCCAATCTCTCCATCAGGATGCTTCTGGGACACAAGCCCTCAGCAGGGTAACTGGAGTAACAGCATCAGAGACAAAAGCCACGAGAACAGGTGGCATATTATGTTGGAGCAGACATGGCCAAAACATCCAACTTAGAGCCCCAGGGACAAGATGGTGGGAGGTCTGGTCAAGGCACTAAAAGCAATCAGCCTGTCTCATTGTTTGGTCATGGGAACCATGTGGAACTGACACCTCTCTGAACAGATGCTTGTGGCTTGCTCCTCTCCTGACAACTTTTTCTTCTGAATGCACCCTGTCTCCAGGCTGTAATACTGAAAGCTGCCCACTCAGTCCTGGCCCCATGCCACACACCCTTCCTGCAAATCCTCAGGAGTTAACAAGAACAGCAAAGATCACAGAGACCCCAAACATCAGGTACTGCTACCCCAGTCCTACCATACCCTAACCGAAGCCTCCTGACCTCAGATTTGATGCTTCCCTGCCTTTTCCCAGCACCCACTGTAACATGTCCCCAGTCTTGCCTAATAAGAAAATAACAAGCAGGTGGCCAAGGGTGACACTGTAATAAAAGGAGCAGTGCAGGGTGCCAAATGAGCAGAGAATCCCACTGAGCCCCATAGCCAGCAGACATACAGAAGTTGAGGCCCAGCCTTGGTGTTCAGGCCAGGCTGTGGGAAGACCCAGCACCCATGCATTTGAAACTGAGATGAGCTGTCGTCTAGAGGGGAAGGGGAGACAACCTTTCAGTTGTCAGTATCAGGAAGAGAGGCTCATGGTCAGGAAGATCCGTCTCTGGGGGGTCATATGTCAGCATGATCCAGACAGTAGGGCTGCAGGAGCTGGGCAGAGGGCTCTGGATCAGCTGGACTAGAGAAGGCTTCTTTCTCACAGCCATCCTGGGGTCAGTTTTGCACTGCTGACCTCTACTGGCCCCAGAAGCACTATATACAGCAGCAGGGCCCGGCACTGCCACCTTCTGGAGGTTTTGGGAAATTGTCCCTCTCACATGCCAGAGGCATGCACTGGGGCAGCTGGAAGTTTATTGTGTTAAAGGACAAAACAGCAGCCTGGCAGTGCTGAGGACCTGGAGGGCCCAGTACTACACCCCAAGTTCAGCCTGTCCAGACAGCGAGTGGCTGTGTGTGCCACGTGCAGGGTGGGAAGCCAGCTCCCTCTAAGCCAGGAAGCCCAGTGTGTGCTGTGCTCAGGCCCAGGTGGCCTCAGGAGGGCGTTGCTGCAGGTCTGGGTTTCTTTCCTCTGTGCTTGAAGCTGCGCAGTGGGTTCTGGGTCTTCACCTTCTAGGGACGCAAAGGTCTGGGTTAGCTGGGGAATCAGACAAAACTGTCCATATCAGACAGACACAGAGTGGGCAGTGCTGGCATGGGGCAAGATCCCCACGCTATGAGACTACTAGTGCTGTAGACTGAGAAGGACATCTGAGGACAGAGCCCATGGACGTGCCCTCTGGCAGTCCTGGAACATCCCCAGCTCATCCAGATCCTGGGAACCCTTTCCCCCTCCCCTTCCAAGGGCAAGGCATCCTGGTAACAACAAAGGGGCAAGCTGGGGAAAGAGTCCTGCTGTCCCAAGGCCCCCAGGTGACATACCTTGGCCTTCCTACAGGAAGACAGCTTCTTCCGCCTCTTGTGAGGACGCACAAGACCTCGAAGAGCAGCAGGGACTGTAAGAGAAGCTGGTCTCAGTGGTATGCTCACCCACCCCCACGCTCCAGCCTCCACGACCAAGACAGGGCCTCCCACCCCTCCCACAAGCCTTCCACAGAGCTACCCCACCCTTTCTCAGTGCTGCCCCCAAACCCTGCAGCATTTTCCAATTCTGACAAGCGACAGCCTATGACACACTATTTGTTATCATACATGCACAGTGATGTCTAAATCAGTCTTGCAGAACTTAAATTTGCTGCAATGAGCACATAGCAAGCAAAAGAAGAGGAGCTACAGTGTTAGGGTAGTGTGTCAACATGCAGGAGAGAGGGAAGAGAAGAGGAGGAAAATGCAGCTAAAGTAAGAAACATCAAGGTGACTTCCTCATGTGTGGCCCTTACCACACCTTCATTGGCCCCCATTGCTGACCCCAGCCCTCCCCTCCCAACCAATCCAGGCCTCCCCTGACCTTGGTCCCTTCATTCCCCCAGCCTAAGCCATATCTGCCCACCTATCCCTGGCCCTTGCAAACCTCCTGGCCATGCCCTCCTAGTGAGGTATCTCGTACCAGGCACCTTAGGTCAGGAGGGCCCTCCTAAGCGTTTCAGACCAGAACCAGAGCTGAGGTCTCCTCCACCTCACTGCCCCTTGGAAACCTGGTCCCTACCCCTCCCTATAGCATTTACATGTTCCCCTCTCTCCTGGGCCCTTAGGCTTCTGCTGCTCTGGTATGTCCCACCTACACCTTCGTGTCAACTCCTAGGCAGCGGCACCTCACCCACCAGCTGGCTCCAGTCCAGGTAGACCCAGGTGCACGCATGGCAGGAGCCCCACGGTCTCTGCTCATTGTCACCATCACCAGTTTTCCCCTAAAGCCCACCGGAAGCATAAGAGCCAAACTCACTCATTCCCAAAACACCACACACTGGAAGCTGCTACCAGAGCCTGAGGTGAGAAGGCTAAACTGCTGTCCACCCCTACCCCCTTGCCAACTCACCTGTCTCTGCCCTGCAGCACCTGTCTCCATCATCTGTTGTTACCTAGACACTCCAGATGTCTCAACACCTGCCAATCCCATCTTCTCCAGCACAGGAAGCTCCTCCTTCTGCCCAGGACCCTCCCCAAATCTGCTTGCTTCCTTCAGCACACAGGAGGTCACTCAGCCACTACTGACTCATTCTTCCAGTCACACCCTGGAGATGGCTAGGCTCCAACTGTGGCTCTGCCACTAACTCTGCATCTCCACAGCAGAGACACCACAGCTACCCCCCGGGGTGGGGTGAACAAGTCTATAGGAATGAGCCCACAGTGTACTTGTTTGTGTGCACATGTGGAATACTGCCTGAGCCTCCTGGCTTCCCTGAGCATAGGACTGGCACACAGTGACTGAGGAACCTAGGCACTTTCCCTCCTGAGCCCTCTGCAACACTCACCCAGGTAGTCAGGGACATTGCCCAGGTGAGGTTTCACCACCGCAGGGTGCAAGGGCAGGTCATGACGTAGCAGCTGCAGGTCCCTGGGGTTGTCCTCAAAGTATGTCTGACGGGAGCAGAGAGAGCACAACAGAATCAGCACTTTTTTTTGTAATTTCGCAGACTGAGGTTTTTTAGGCAGTACTGGGGTTTGAACTCAGGCCTCATGATTGCTAGGCAGGCGCTCTACCACTTGAACCATGCCTCCAGACCTTTCTACTATGGCTCCCTGACAATGCTATATGAATGTGGCCACACACGTGGCTATGTACACTCACTGGTATGCCGGGGGTGAGAACATGAAATTTTGACAGGTGTTGAGAGTACCCACCATGAGGTTGTGCCAAATGTCCTCTCAGCCCAATGGGCTGGTGGCCTTCTATGGCACTTGGCTGGTTTCTCTCTCCTTGCCAAAAGCCAGCACATGGCCCAGTTCTCTGCTTCGCACCTCAAATCTACCAGTCTCTTCCAGAAAGAGCAGCCGCCAAAGCTTGCTCCCCCATCTCTTCTCCAACCCTCACCTTGAGCTTCTCTGAGTGCAGAAGCTCCTCCTTGATCTCCTTCAGCCTCGCCTCCCGAATGGCCTGCTTAGTTACTGAGCGCATGGCATCCTGCGGGAAGACACTGAGCATCAGTTACCCAGGCTGCCCCCAGTCATCCCTCATGCCTGAATGCCCAGCTGATAGGGTGCGATCCCTGGGTCATGGTCCTTCCCCACTCCACAATGCCCAGCTCACCCTACAGCGATACCGGAAGCCTTCGATCTCCTCCATCCGGAACTGGTAGGGAAGTAGGATGGGGGCCTCACCCTCTGGAAGAAGGCACCCGTGAGGGCTCAAGGCAGGTCCATATGAGCTCTCATCTCATAAAGCCTCCTGCTCCTCCCTCCACCACCCACCCACCCACCAAGAGGAGGCTGCACCATGTGACACCGGATCTTCAGCATCACTTCATGTGGCTCTCACGGTCAGCCCCATGATGTTCAGTAGGGGTGTGTACCTGAGGCATGTGTGCTACCCCTAGTCCCAGGACATACCACCTGATCCCCACTCCCTCAAGGCTGCTCTGAAGCAAGACCCCCAGGATGACAGTCATGGACTGTGGCTAAGGCACATGCAGTGGCCTGGAATCAGCTGCTGTTGTGAGCTGAGCCAGAGCACCTGTCCAGTTACTCTGATAATGAGGCAGACAGGAGACATGACTTTTTGGACAGTTATCTCGATTTGTTCATCTTTGAAGGGACACAGTGCCTGCTGCACAGGGCAGGATAAGGATAGTTGGGGAAGGCAGCCTATCATGACCATTGTGGGCTTTTTTTTTTTGTTGGGGGTGGGAAGAGAAAGGAGCGGAACTAGGGTTTAAACTCAGGGTTTCACACTTACGAGGCAGGCACTGTACCACTTGAGCCACTCCACCAGTCCTGTTTTCTGGTTTTCTTTTTTTTTGTTTGTTTGTTTGTTTGTTTTAAAAACAGGGTCTAGCTATGTAATCCAGGCTCCTGTCTCCCAAATGCTAGGATTACAGGTCAGAGCCACCACAATCCATACTATCATGAGTTTTACATGTCATGGAAGAAACCTGGCCCTTACCCAAGCCCACAACCACAAGAGCCAGGGCTCTTACCTCCTCTGAGAAGCTCCTCGATCTTGCACAAGTGGGACTGCTCTGTGGGTAGCACAAACGTCAACACTATGCCTGAGTTGTTGGCTCGTGCTGTCCTGTAATGGGAGAGGTCCAGCCTGCATCTCTGGCCCACAGGCTCTGTCCAGCCCACCCAGGTCCTTCAGCAGGCCCACCATGCAAGTGCATAGCACACAACACCCCCAACTCCTACCTGCCAGCCCGATGGATGTAGGCATCAGGGGTAGGAGGAAGATCAAAGTTGAGCACAGCAGACACATGGTGGAAGTCTATGCCCCGGGCCACACCTGCCTCTGGATCAGAGGCCCTGTGGAAATAACCCGATGTCAACAAACTCCTCTGGGAAGATGCTCTTTAGCTTAATCAGCAAAGTTTCCTCTAAAAAGAGTCTGAAGACCACAAGGTCCTGGTATAACCAGGCTGGTACCAGTAGTTCACGCCTGTAATCCTAGCTACTCAGGAGGCACAGATCAGGAGTTTCATGGTTCAAAGCCAACCCAGGCAAACAGTTCCCGAGACCTATCTCTCAAAAATCAATCACAAAAAGGGACAGTGGAGAGGCTCAAGGGGCCGAGTTCAAACCTCAGTACTGAAAAAAAAAAAAGTGTTCCAGGAATTGGGACAGGATGTCTTGTGTTGGGGTGGAGCTGACATATGGGATAACCCCTACCCTGATCTCAGCTCTGGGGTAATGGCATGATTCCTGTCCTACAGGGAATCTACCTGAGACCAGATAGTTCTCTGGACCAGAGAACTACCCGGGACAGAGGAGTTTTCATGTAGACAGACTAAGGGCTTCCCTTTTCCTCTCAGATATATGTTCCCCACAAATCACAGCTGCATGCCCAGGGCGCGCTGGGCCATCGCCCCTACATGGCACTACATATCAATGGTCCAGACCAGCCTGCCCCTCCGTGCCACACAAACGCAACAAGCACCCGTGGGCTCTCTGGTGCCAACCACCTAGAACGACTAGCACCCTGTTATGTGCCCTCTGGCTTCTGTCTTCCCAAAGCTAAAAACAGGCTTCTCTGGGGAGGACTCAAAAAGGTGGACTCACTTATCTCCTTTGGACCCTCGGCCCCGCCGCTTGCCTTTGGCTAGGGCCCCCAGGACTTCCGCATCCGTTGCTATGACACAGTCATAGAAGCCTTGGTTGAACTGTGAGATGATGTGGCACCTGCAGTCCAAAAAGTAAGGTCAGACCATCAGAGCGCCTAGAGGTGCCCCTGAGCCTCGCCCCCCCGCCCTTAAAACCCTCGCCCTTCCCCACATCTTCCTCCTCTCAATCTTTTTCTCCTTAATCTTTTTGCTTCAATTTCCTCAGGTAGTGGCAGTAAGTATTTCAAATTTGTGAGAAATACCCATAAAGTTCAGAGCCTGGCCTCTACTAAGTAAGTAAGTGCCTAAGAAGCAGGAACATCAGCTGGTCCCCTGGTGCACCTGGAGCGCAGCGGGAGCTCTCCATTGAGCACGCAGCTGGGGATGCTGAACTGCTCCAGGAAAAGGCGGAGCCGGTAGCTTCGCTCCAGAGTGTTGACAAAGAGCAGGGACTTGCCGCGGATCAGCGACAGCTTCAGGAGAGCATAGAGCAGCAGGAACTTGTCTTCTTCTGTCTCACAGACCACCTGGAACTGCTGCAACTGCTCTGGCCCTGGCAGCTGGGACTCCTGTAACTTGAGGGTGACCTGGGGAGAGGACAGACCTGTGGTCAGAAAGAAAAAGAGAACACAAAGATGCTATGGCCAGGGACTAGCCAACGAAAGCACCAGCACTGCAGTGTAGAGTAAGCATGCTTTTGAGAATGTCTGGTGCACCAAAATCTCCAGTTTTATAACCTAGGAACTCACAGTGCCCTAACTGTGTGGGGTACAGAAACACAAACTATCCATAAAGCATCTAGGACACACAAGGAAAATTTGTAAGACACACAATGATGTGTAAGGAAAACTGACAGCAACAGGCCTCCCAAAGAGTACAAGTTACACAGTGAGAATGTGGCCCTATGGTTTTTGACTGCCACCCAAAGCAGAGAGTGGGCTGGTTAAGCTCTTAGGCAAAGCACAGTGTGAACCAGGGACTCCTGGAAATATGTAATGATTTTAGTTGACTGGCTTTCAGTGCTTTAGAACCAGGGATCACATATTCAATGACAACGGTCCCACCCAAAACACCAAAGGCTTCCTCTGAGAAGCAAAGTCTTCTGACTGTCCCTTTGCCTGCAGCTCCAGACACAGCTTCTGAGCCCTTACCGGGTTATGTAGTACCAGCTCCTTCAGTGTTTGTACGTCCTCATTAAAAGTAGCTGACATGAGAAAAGCCTGGTAAATCCGGGGCAAGTGACTGAAAAAAAAGAGCCTCTGATTGTGGCAGCTGAACTTTCACCCAACACACTCCAGCACTAAGCCTCTATTCACAGCAGTTTCCACTAGGAGCCACCCCCATCTCTTCCTACCAGAGAAGACTCTTGAGTTCTTCTTCAAAGCCAAAGGAAAGAAGAAGGTCCGCCTCATCCACCACCAGCAGCTCCAGGGAGTCCTGCAGTTTCAAGCTGTCCTGCTGCACGTGGCTTAATATGCGGGAGGGGGTCCCCACCACCACATCTGGCTTCTCCATCAGCACAGCTCTGCAGATAGCACAACATCAGTAGCAGTTGGAACCTCACCCTGGCCCTCTTGCTACACACAAACCTAATCCCACATCTCTGTGTAGCTTCATTCCCTTAGAGCCCTGCAGCTTTCACCCACCTCTGGGAAGCTGAATCTTCAGCGGCTGAGACATTGGCCACCCGCACATCTCGAGCACAGTAGGCAGCCAGCCGGTGAATCATGGACTGGGCCTGCCGGGCCAGCTCCTTGGTAGGAACAAGGACGAGGCCTCTCACAGCCTGTTCCACCACAGGACCTGTCTGTAAGAGCACAGAATAAAGATTTGGCCAGAAGTGCTTATCGCTGGGTCCCCCTGGTGCTCTTCTCTTCCTCGTCCAGATAACCGGATTCATCCACTGCATCACAACAACCTAGCTGCGTTCTGAGTGATCCCTCACTTTGAATGCAAGGCTTTCCCCGGGCACTGACTCAAACAAAGCCTGCTCTACGCCTATGAAGCAAATTAAAACGTACTAAGTGTGGAGCTGGACTTGCACAATACAGTGGAAATAGTAGAAAAGGGAGATGTGCACCCTTTTTATACAAGGAGGGCAAGTGATTTCTTCAAGATTACGCCAAGCCTGGCAGCAGTGGAGGCAGGTCCTGGACGAGGATGTAGTACCTACCACAGCACCAGGTCCTCCAGGGTCGGCCCGCGCGGAGGGCGCCCCGCTGCACCCCAACCCGGGCCCCTCCCGGCCCCCGGGGCTTGCCTCCCTCTCCATGGTCCTCTGCTACCCACCGCCTTCTTGTGAAGCAACAGCTGCAGCATCGGAATAGCATAAGCGGCCGTCTTCCCAGAGCCGGTGCGGGCCCGGGCCAAGAGGTCCTTCCCTTCCAGGGCCAGAGGTATGGCCTTTTCCTGAATCAGCGTAGGTCGCGACCAGCCCAGGTCGGCGACGGCCTGGGAGAAAAGAGGGCGGCTTAGGCGGCGCGGAGGGCGACGGCGCACCCCGCGGAGCCCGGGAGTCCAGCCCCTGGATCCCCAGCCCTTCGAGGTACCTGCAGGAGCCGGGGATCCAGGCCCATGTGTTCAAAGCCCAAGGCTTCTGAGTCTGCCATGATGTGCTCAGTACTGACAGCGCGCACGCGCAGCAGGAATTACGCGAGGACGTGAGGGGCGGGCCTAATGAATGGCCAATCAGCTCCAGAGGAGCCATCACTCCCCGGAAGTGCCGAGAGCAGGCCTCAGGTTTCCGGCGACGCTCTGCTGCTGTGCTGCGCCTGCTGTCCCCTTGACGGGTTCCCGCGGCGCTGTCCGCGTGTCACGACACGCAGGACTGGCGCTGGTAGGGTTTCATCTGCTTGGCTGTCGTGAGGATCTGGCTGCGAGGGCGGAGTACGGCCAAGGGCGGAGTACGGCCAAGGGCGGAGCCACCGAGAGGCTGGCGGCGGGCCCTGCGCAGGTCGCGGTTCGGTGGGCAGCGAGGGTCACTGATCAAAACCAAGGCTTCGGACTTGTGATCTTCAGAGTCATTAGGATAACGTTTGTGTTTGAAGCCACTCGGTTCATGGCGACTGGTTACCGCGGGAATCGGTAATCGGGGCCCGTAGAAGCGGAGGTGGGGCTGGGGGTGGCTCAGGCGGGCGCTCCACCGCCAGCATGAATAAATAAGACGGGAGCCGAAGCCACCCAGCGCCTGGCTTTGAAGGCAGAAACCGCAAGAGGCAAAGACGTGATGATTCCCAAAGTCATTAGACCCTCGTGGTGACACTAGGCTCGCGCGGGTGACCAGTTTAAAATCATCTGATAAGCAACCTTCATTCTTGGCCATGGTAGGTAACAGTCACGAGTTTCAGAGATTAGGATACAGACCCATTTTAGGGGGCATTATTGTGCCGACCATACCACCCAGACACAAACCTAATGAGTCAGACTGATCGCCAGTGCTGTCCCTAATGAGCTTCCGGCCGCGGTGGCCCAGCAGCACCTGAGGACCAGCGGGTAAAGTCAGCTGGGCAAATGATGAGAGCAGAACCCGTCCGGAATGGTAGGGGGCGCTAAGAGTGGGTGCCCCCCCACAACCTGCAGGAGGTAGAGGTTAAGAAAGCAAGGATTTTGGAATCTATCAAGGGTCTTATTGGGGTGAAACCGAGATTCCTATTTCCACAGCCATCCTCTGGCCATCCAATTCCACCTGCCCCTCTGGATGCAAAGGTGTGGTGCATGCACACTTTTATCCACGATCTACTCAGTCAGTTGAGTTGTGCTCAGATGTGACTATTGAACAAACCCCTGGGTGCCTGGCTCAGTCTCCTGTAGCCTCCAGTCCCTGCTTTGGCTGGCTAGATTTCTAGTAACAGCCTCATGGCAGACCTGTGTCACATACTCCCCAACAGCCTCAAGCCAGAGGTTTATACATCTAAGCAGTCAAAGAACACCTGACTCCCTGTGTTAATTCTAACCTGAAGAAAATTAGAAAACTTTTTATATATATTATATATATATTTTTTAAAGTACATTACTGCTGCACTGGAGGTACACTGTGACATTTACAAAAGTTCTTACAGTATATCATAGTTGAATTCACCCCCTCCATCATTCTCCTTTATCCTCCCTCCCCTCATTCCTGGAATAGTTTCAACAAGTCTCATTTTGCCTTTTTCATAGGAAAACTTTTAAGTATCAGAAATTTTCACTGGACTATTAACAGCCATTCGGAATTAGGAAAGAGAAGTAGAAAAAAATTTTTCATTTCTTTGCCCTCCATACAAAGTAGAATTTTAAAAATATAAACAAATACATACAATGAAAAAGCCTACAAAACTAAATATATCTTAAGAGTAAAGATACGTACATATATGGACTAGGATATAAGAGAAATGACAAGGGAAGAATTTAGTTCTGTAGGTCAGATAAAAAATTTAATAAATAATATTCCAAATAAATTATTATAAAACTATCAAGTAAAATGTCAAAAATGGGCAACTAATGGTATGAAGTTTTACACAGGAGAAGGGCATGGGGAAGTACAAAGAGCTATTGAGTTCATGACTTGGGCTAAGAACCAAGTATTCCATTTCCTCAGACAGTTCATGCTAAACGTGTTACCTACTTGGCTGACCTTTGATAATTTGGTTAAGCAGCCACCCCATGCACCTCCAGACTGCTTGAAGATGGGTCCATCCAGGCCGAGCCCTGGCATGAGTCCACACTGAGGTCTTCAGTCTGGGCCAGGAACCTTTCCTCTTTCCCTTTCTTTTAACCTCCCCTCTGCCCACAATCTTTTATTTCATCTCAAACAAAGCTACTGTAATATGTTTTATTTCATTGGAAAAATCTGTTATGAAGAACCAAATCTGATTCCTTAGAAGAAAACGTTGACCACAGCTTAAGTGAAAGGGGAAGAGGGAGGGGGGAGTGTACTGCCCTGTACTAGCTCTGTCACAGTCTTCCCTGACAGAGGCCTGGTGGGGTGGGAGCCACAGGTGTCCAACAGAACTTGACCTTCTGATATGGCCTTGAGAGCAACTCTTACCTCTGCCTTCTGGCCCAAAGACTGAAGTCATGAGGGCTGCCATTACAGTTGTAAAAATGTGAATGAACGGGATGCACAAGGACTGGATTGGGGTTAGTTACAGGCAGCTACTTACAGGCAGTAACACTTCAACTAGGAAAGAAAATATATAATTTATCAAAAAAATAGTTCTAATATATAGAAAAACATCTCAACTTCTGGGGCAAAGACTTGCCCCTTATATACATTCACAAAGCCATTGAGGGAGCCCAGGACTGACCAGGGACAGCAGGCAGGGCCTCCCCAGAGGGCCTGCAGTCCCCTACTGTAGAAGCAGAGAAAACAGCATCATTTGCTCATCTCTTAGAGGAAAGGGGAAATCACTGGAAGCAAAAGAAACAAGACTTGGGTTTGGGTCAGTTCCAACTCACCAAGCCCTAAGACAAACTTTGAAAGCTTGAACCAATGTCCTGTATCCTTGAGAACCAGGGCTACATGTAGCTGATCAAAATGGTCTGTTGCCATGATACCAAGGCGACATTCATTTTTGTCTTCCCCCCTCAAAATTCAGGTGGTAAAGGGATTGGATGGGGAAAGTACCAAATAACTGAGGTGAAAGGACAAGGTTATAGGGACGGGGCACTACACCAGCTTCTTAGCCTCAAAAAAGCTCTTGAGGTGACGCATCTGCCAGATGCCAGTGAGGATGAGGATGACGGTCTGAGCAATGGACCACCACAGGACCCTCTGGTTGGTGCTCTCACTGGTCAGACGAAAGCGTTCTTCACGATACTGCAGGGGACAGTAGACATGGTGTTAAAGGAGTAACAGAAACAGTCCCAGCTGTTGTGAGGTTGCTCCCTGTGTGTGAGACTGCTCAACTCCAGGATAAAATGCCTTCTGAAATACCACCTGACTCCATTAGGAGTGGTGCCACAGCCTCCCCACTGAGACAGTGCTGTCCTTCCATAAGCATCTCTCTAAGAACTGACATCATGCTTCTACCATTTCAAATAAGAGCCCAGGTAAAACAAGCAGGCAACACTATTAGATTGTGAGCTGTCCTCTCTTCACTGTTTTATAGAACTTAAAAGTAACTAGGGCAATTGGGGGGCTGGTGATGTACTCAATGGTAGAATTCTGGCTTAGCATGCACAAGTTCCAGCATCAAGATAAAAGTGGGGAAGGGGTCTATACATACAATGGAATATTATTCAGCCTTAAAAAAAAAGGGGGAATTCTGATTTACAGTATAACATAGATGAACCTTGGGGATGTTGTGCTAAGTGAAATGAGACAGTCACAAAAGGGATACTACTGTATGATTCCACTTATGGGAGTTAAGAATAGTCAGGATCACACAGAAAATACACCAGGGGATAGAGGAGGGAAATGGGGAGTTAGTGTTTAACAGGTACAGATTCTGTTTGGGAAAGTGAAAAAGTTCTACAGATACACTGTAGGTAGTGATGATGGTACATAGAGCTGTGTACTTAGAAAGCAGTCATATGATAAGTTGTATATTCTGTGTATCTTAACACAAGAAAAATAAAGGGCTGGGGTTAGGGTTTGCCTAACATGCAAGTGAGGCTCCTGGGTTTCATCCCCAGCCCTGCCAGAAAGAAAAAAAACCCTAACTATCCAGACTAATACCCTCCATTCCAGTCTCTTAAGAGCTGATCAGGGAAGTCCCCAAGCAGGAGCTTCCAGTAGGTAGAGTGAGTGCAAAGGTCAGCTGCCACCTCAAAATACAAAGAGATAAGTGCCCTTACCCTCTGGTAGTCCTGCTCCTTCTGGATCTGTTCCACCTGATCCAGCAACTGGCGGGCTCGGAGCTGCAGCTCCGTCAGCTTATCCTTAGCAGCAATCTCTGGGTAGTTGTTGGCATGCTCCCCAACCTGGATGTCCAGGTGCACACGCTGCAAGGAAATAGGGTGTCTGACCACTGTTTCAGTTATGGAACCCACTCTTGTCCTTAGCCGTGAAATAGAGGTACATCAGTCGGTCTCCCCTATTCTATGCCACAAGTGACGATGACAACACATCAAAATGTGAAACCAAGTGAGAGATTCTAAGCTATCTTACCAGCTTGCCACCAGCGAAGAGCGCCATCCTGGTGGAGTTGGAGTGCAGGCAGATCTGGTGGTCGCCGGGCGTGTGCGAGGTGAAAGTGAAGCGGCCCTCGGAGCCATACTGCCGGGACAGCACCACCTACGCGCGGGTGAAGGCCAGCTCTGTTAGGCGACATCGCCCCGCACGCTCCTGTCCCTGGGGCCTCGATAGAGCCCCACGGAGCATCCGCCAACGGCCTTACCTTGCCATCGGGGTCTTTCACCTCCACGTGCATGCCCAGGCCGGGGGTCGAGGGCAGGAACACCTCCTTCTGCTTGTCCCACATCTGAGTTCGGTAGTTGCCTGCGGGGCACACACACAGTCACGACCCGGCCCACACCCCCCACCGACGTGCGGCCCGGGGAGCTGGGCAGAGGGTCTGGCGTCCTCGGGGCGCACTCAAGCCAGGTTTGGGGGAGACGACCTGGCCAGGCTCGGGAGAAGGGGCGTTGGCGAGGGGCCAGGCAAAAACAAAGGGCCTCTCCACCCTCAGCCCGCCTGACCGATGACCATGGTCTCGTCGGGGATTTCCTCGATGAAACAACGCTTCTCCGTCTCGCCGATATGGAAGTAGAGCCCCTGGGCACCCAAGGCACATAGCGCCAGCAGCAGCAGCACAGGTCGCCCCATTGCCTTCAGCCAGCGGAACCCGACACCTGCCATCGCGCCTCGGCCCCGTGCGCGTGCGCGCGCCTGCGCGACAGACAGCCAGCCGCAGCAAGCTAGGGGGCGCCCGAGTGGGATCAGCGTTGCTGGGTTTCCCTTCCCCGCACTGTCCAGTCGGCGGCTCTCGCGCCGCTCTGCGCCTGCGCGCTTCTCTGGCCACGCCCTTCAGTGGAGGGAGAGGGCGCCTGTGCAGTAATACCCACCTCCCTGGTCTCGCCGGAACGGAGCGCCGGGCACCTCTGACCCGGCTCACGCCGCTATGCGCATGCGTGTCTCCCTAGCCGCGGCCCTCAGTAGAGGAGAGAGCGCCTGCGCAGTGATGCCCGCCTGCAATCTCCGTGGGAAGCAGCAACTGGAACCTGTGACCCAGATTGTCATTATGCGCATGCGCGCCACCCCAGCCACGCTCCCTTAGAGGAGGGGAGAGGGCGCCTGCGCAGTAGTGCCCATCCTAATCTGCAGACCGCTGGACCGAGCACCTACGCCTTGCCTCGTGTCGTTATGCGCATGCGCGCAGCCCTCACCGCGCCCCTCAGCAGAGGTGGGGAGGGCACTTGTGCAGTGGAGTAGGTTCCCAGACTCTGTGGCGTGTCAAGCCGTGACCACTACTGGCATGAATCGCAAGGCTTTTAGGTATAAGCATGTAACTCAAAGTTACTTGACCTCCCTGGGAGTGTTGTCCGCTCCCTTCACCGCTTCTCTGCCTGCCTCATCTCCTTTTGAAAAAACGGGTGCAAGATGGCCCTGAAAATCTGGGCTGAGAAAGCAGGAAAAGAAGGGTCGTGGAGTGAGTGGGGTCACGATGTGTTTGCATCCCCTGGGAACAGCACAGCCCTTGTGTGCAAAAGACGAAAAACTAGATCAGAGCACAGCAATTTTGGAGCTTCGTTTTATTTTTTTTGTTGTTTGTTTTTTAAGACAGCCTCACTATGCAACCCAGGCTGACCTGGAATCCACCATTCTGCAGCCTCAACCTCCTGAGTGCTGAAATCATCTTACAGTTTTTTCCTAAGAGAATTTTTAAACAGATAAAAGTAGAATAGTTACAATGAACTTTCATATGCTCAAATGTGAGCAACAGCAATCACATTGGCTTTCTGCCTTTTCTATTTATCTTATGCCTTTCTGTATTTTTTTTACCAAAGCACATTATAGCAAATTCTAGAAATCATACTTCACCTTTTTTTTTTTGCTGGTACTGGGGTTTGAACTGAGGACTCCAAGCTTGCAAAGCAGGTGCTCTATTGCTTGAGCCACACCTCCAGTCCATTTTGATCTGGTTATTTTGGAGATGGAGTCTTGTGGACTACTTGCCTGGGCTGACCTCAGTCCTTCTGATCTCAGCCTCTCAAGTAGCTAGAATTACATGTGAGAGCCACTCCAATCAACTAATGCTTCACCTTTAACTACTTCAGTATGTGTCTGTAACAGGTCAGCACCACACCCACCAAAATTAAAAATAATTCTTTAACATCTAATTTGTAGTGTGTGTTCATTTTTCCCCATTGTCTTTTAAAAAACAAGAGAAAAAAAAAACTTTGTGGGGATGTAGCTCAGTGGTTTAGTGTTTACTTAGCATGCACAAGGCCCTGGGTTCAAACACCAGTACTGCCAAAAAAATAATAAAATTAAATTTTTTAAATTTGCATATTTAAATTAGTCCAAACAAGGCCTACTGACTGTGTTTAATGGACATATGTCTTGTTTCTTTGAGACTTTTTTTGGTCAGTGCTGGGTCTTGAATTCAGTGTCCCAATGCTTGCTAGGTAGGAACTCTACCACTTGAGCCACTCTACTCCCCCCCTTTCTTTATTGGGGTTTTTTCAAGATAGGGTCTTGAGAATTTGCCAGGGGCTTGCCTTGAAACACGATCCTCCTGATCTCTACCTCCTGAGTAGCTAGGATGACAGGTGTGAGCCACCAGCGCCCGGCTTGTCTCTTTGAGTATACTATGATCCTGTTTTTGTTGATGGTCATGCCATTTAATTACTGAACACACTGTGTCAGCAGATTCTTCCACAAGCTGAGTTTTGCTCATTATATCTTCACATGTCATTTGACATGTTTCTCTGTTCCTGGTATGTCCTCTAACCAGAAAACTAAATCTAGAGTCAAGGAGGCCTTAAGTGAAACTTTTTTGGGGGTGGGGGGAGTGGAACTGGGGTCTGAACTCAGGGCTTCACGCTTACTAGGCAGGTGCTCTACCACTTGGGTTGTTGCAACAGGAGAGTGTGTGTTGCACAATAGAGGCTGAATCTATACTGTCACTGCTGCCATCCAGTGAGTAGATACTAGAGACACTGCTAAACATTGTGTCATGCACAGAACAGGTCCCACTGCCCATGGCAAAGAATTGTCCAGCCCAAAATGTCAGCAGTACCAAGGCCAAGTCCTGAGTCCTCATCTCTTATATTTTTCTGTTTTTTTGGTAGCACTGGAGTTCGAACTCAGGGCTTTGCACTCACTAGGCAGGCCCTCAACCACTTGAGCCACTCTACCAGCCCTTTTGCCTTTGGTTATTTTGTAGATAAGGACTTGCTTTTTGTCTAGGCTGTTCTGGACCATGATCCCAGCCCCCTATTTTAGAGCTTCCTGCCATACCTAGGATAACAGGTGTTCACCATAATGCCCCCTTTTTTCATTGAGATGGGGTCTCCCAAACTTTTGCCCTTGCTGGCCCCAAATCATGACCCTTCCAATCTCAGACTCCCTAGGATTATAGGCATGAACTCCCAGAGCCTGGCTACATCTTGTTATTTTCATTAGGGCTGCAAAGTGGTAATTTCTAATGGTCTTGTTTCTCCTGCATTTATAATTGGATTCCTGCAAAGGTGAACTTTCCATCAACTACCATATGATTATTCTGAAATAGAATCCATTCAGGAAACACAGGATGTATGCTTCATGCTTTCCCTTATCAATTTTAAGATTGATGGATTGACGCCCCAGCAACCTCTAACTGTGACCACACTGATGTGCCTGGGGGCAGGGGAAATGGAAGTATTATGACTTTATAGATTTGTAGATATCTGATATACTTTATCAAAGTCATCATCCTTTTTTATTGTAGTACTGGGGTTCAAGTGCATGGCCTACACCTTGAGTCACTCCACCAGTCCTTTTTTGTGATGGATTTAAGATAGGGTCTCTCAAACTATTTGCTCAGGCTGGCTTTGAACTGTGAGCCTCTTGATCTCTGCCTCTGAGTAGCTAGGAGTCTAGGCATGAGCCACTGATGCCCAGCTTATATTTTTTTTCTTAAAGAAACTCCTGGGCTGGTGGAGTGGCTCAGGTGGTAGAGTGCCTGCCTAGAAGGCGTGAGGCCCTGAGTTCAAACCCCAGAACCACCAAAAGGAAAAAAAAAAAAAAGAAGAAAAGAAACTCCTAAAATTTGTCAAAATTGATGGATAATCTTAGAGAGAATGCATTCCCCACTACAGAAAATGTACTAATCTGATTCTCCAGCTTAGAGGCTGTTCTCCTCAAAGGTGGTGGGGCAAGTTGTATCAGGGAATGCCTAGGCTCTTTGTCAAGGCCACCACCCCTTCCTTTGCTCATTCACTCAATATGCGGTACACAACCAACTGTGGCACTTACTGTTCTAAGACAGCACAATGGTGACCACAGCATGAAAATCCTTGTGCTGTGACTTTCCCTCAATTATTGTCTATAAGTAAGATCAGTCAGTAAGTATATAGCTTGTCAGCTGGAGGGAACAGTCAAGAAGAAAAGCAACACAAGGAAGAGGAAACACAATGTAGTAAGTTAAATGGTGACCCACCCAAAAGATAGATCCCATGTATCAATCCCTGGAAACTTCAAATGTGATCTTACTTGGAAAGGGTCTCTGCAGGACTTACTAAGGATTTTGAAATGTGATGATCCTGGATTAACTCACTGGGCCTTAAATCCAATGACAGGTGTGTGTTATGAAAGGGACAGGGAGATCTGGAGTTGTGGCTCAAGCAGTAGAGCACCCATTCTGCAATTATAAAGCCCTGAGTTCAACACCAGTTCCACCAGAAAAAAATGAGTTACAAATATTTGAGCTGGAGTCATATCTCAATAGGTAGTGCTTCCTTCCCTAGCAAGTACAGGCCCCTGGTTTCAATCCCCAGTAACACACACACCTCACACCTATTAGAATGGCTACTATTTTAGAAATTAAGACAAAATAGAGTCAGGTGCCAGTGGCTCATGCCTGTAATCCTAACTAATCAGGAAGCAGAGATCAGGGGATTGAAGTTTGAAGCCTGTCTAGGCTTCAACAGTGTACAACAGACACTATCTTGAAAAAAAAATCACAAAAGGGCTGGCAAAATGGCATAAGTGGTAGAGCGCCTGCCTAGCAAGTGTGTAGACTCTGAGTGAAACCCTTTTTTTAGGGGATTTTTCCATGAAGTCTGACATGATCTGAGGTAGACTTTTTTTTTTTTCCAGTACTAGGGGCTTGAACTCATGGCCTCCACCTTGAGCCACTCCACCAGCCCTATTTTTGTGCAGGGTTTTTCTGAGACAGGGTCTCATGGAACTATTTGCCTGGGCTAATTTTGAACTGTGATCCTCCTGGTCTCTGTTTCCTGAGTAGCTAGGATTATAGGCGTGAGCCACCAGCACTGAGTGCCAATATTTCTTACGGATATAAATGCGAAAATCCCTAACAAAGTAGAAACAAACCAGTTCCCACAGCATATAAAGAGAAACACACATGGTGACCCTGAGAGGTTTATCCCAGTAACGCCAGAGTCCATCTGTTAAAGCAGGTCCACTGTGCGAAGGTCACCTTTTCAGTCCAGAAATCTTGGGCTGCACTTTCACTACCAGTGAGGCAAACAGTGACACAAACCCTCAAAAGGAAGCAGGTTTCTTATTTAGGGATAGGCACCAGGAGACAACAAAAGCTGTTGACACAGGGCAAACAGCTCCACAGGCCAGTTAAAGTGCCTGGGGCAGACGGAGTTTTGTCTGCCCTTGACCCACTTGCACCAAGCTGAGAAGCAGGAAAGCAGTCTGCTTTGGGGTTTTAT